AAGTGGGTTTCTTGGCGGGAGTACCAGCCGTGAAAGCTTCATAGACGCCAGTTTTGTACACACCGAGACGAGCGGATTCCTTGAGAGTCACACCAGCCGTGCGCTGCAAGACTTTCGGGTTTATCGGGAGTTTAAGGTTCGCGTCGCAGCCGTTGAGCTGCACGCCTTTCCAGTCGGGTGGGTGGCAGCCCCACACCTGTGTGTCTTTTCCTTGACCCTCACCAATCGGCAACCAAGCGATATGTTCTCTGTACTCGTTGCCACCTCGTGCACAACCGAGGCTGTTGTAAAGGGTCGGATCAGCATCGATGGCGTCGAGCTGTGACTGAGGAACAGAGGCATCGTTCACTTTAGGATCGAGATACCAGTTGGGCAAGTAGCCACCGACTCGCTCTTGCCGGAATGGTGTCGTAGTCGCATGGTAGCACTGGAGGTTGAGCCCATCTGGTCTACGAGTGATGCACTCACCTGCGAGCCAAGCGTCGACCATACCAGCGCCCTTGTGCTTGACGTGCTCTCGAAGCCTCTCCAAACCCTTCTTGGTGAACATCAGGGACCCGGCGCCGGCCCACATGCACAGCTTGTCCCACTTGTACAAATACACGTGCGACGACGTGTTCGCATTTTGAAGGGCATCGCCCAACGCTGCCCAGTCTGGTGTTGACAACCCTTGTGTGTGCATCCCCCACTTGCCCGTCGCCTTGGAGCGGAACTTCTTCACAAACTGACCGGGTCCTCGAGCCGTGTTGACAAGCCAAACCATGTCGGCATCGGCTGGAAGCTGACGTCCGAGCTCAGCGTAGTCGAGTGGGCTAACCGAGTGGATTCCTCTACCGTCTTGCTCCCAGAGAACAACTCGTTCTTCGCCCCGCTCGAGCGCCTTCTTCCAGACAGCCATGTGAGACAGCAAGCAGCCGAAATGATGCTCGCGGTGTCCGAGGCAGGAATCAGTCCTGCACACGTGGTCCTTCGAGTCGAGCACTTGCTTCACTTCATTCATCGGTCCAGGCATGCGTCCACCCTTCTCCGGGGTGGTCATCAAATCCGAAGTCGAGTACTGCGCGACGTCCAGTGTCACCGGCCAAGCGGTAGGGAACGTCGCCTTCTGGATTTCCACCATTTCCCCGGCTTGCTGTTGAGTCATTCCGCCGTAAGTCTTGAATAAGTCTTGGATGTAATCACGCGCATCCATGGCAGTTTCTGATTCCTTACCAGGCCTCGTGTCGGCGACAATGTACGTGCGCACATTTGTCTTTCGATCGTAGCCCAAGATGGACGTGAGGTGGCCGTGTTTGCGTCGTCTTTCAGACGAGGCAGACGCGGACTCTCCCTTCGTTGTCTCGTGCTCAGACGCTTTCCCGCGACGTTGCAGCCACGATGCGACGCGAGAAAAGAATCGTCCTTGTCCCTCTTTATGTTTGTGATGTCCAAGCTTGGCGCTAGACGCGTTCGGACCTGATTCATCGGTCTCCGACTCGCTCTCCTGCGTCTCGCTCTCCTCCGTCTCGGTCTCTTCCGGCTTGGCCGGGTAAGACTCCGCGTCCGGCTTGGCCGGGTAAGACTCCGCGTCCGGCTTGGCCGGGTAAGACTCTGAGTCCGGCTTCGGCGCCGCCGGCTTCGGCGCCGACGGCGCGTGGTGATGTCCGTGATGTCCACCGTGCTTGTGATGACACAAGCGCGGGTGCTCGTGACACCAATGATTTTGAACTTTTTGCCACCGCGTCTGCTCGCCTCCGAGCGCCCCCGCGTCCGCCGTCTTCGCCTCCCCCAACGCGCTCGGCACCGCCACCCCTCCCCCCACCGAGACCCCGATCGCCGCGCACGCCAATCCAACGCACACCGCGCCCGCGACGACGCCCACGCGCCCGACGCGTCCGCGCTCGCGCGCCAGCGCATCGCGCGCACCCCGCTCGACATCCTCGAACGATCCATCGCCCGAATCCGTCGCGCGCGCCACCGCGTCGCCGACGCGATCGCGTAGGAGCGCGACGCGTTCGGCGCGATCGCGCGCGCGTCTCCCGTCCATGTCTCGCGCGTCCGTCGTCCCTCGCGCGCGCGCGCGCGTGGTCGTGCGGGCGGCGCGCGCGCCGAGGGTGTTGGGCGCTCGTAGGGTCCGCGTGTGACATCACGAGACCACGGTGCGGTCGCGCGACGCCGCGCGCGACCTCGTGGAGGCGACGACGCGATCGCGCGTCGTTCGCCCATCGATCGCGCGCGCGCGGTCACGGCGCGCGGACGCCCCGAGCGCGCTCGACCACGGCGCGGGCGCGGGGTCGAGG